CAACAGGGTCACACTCCCCCTGTCTCTCTCCCGGCAAAGGTCATCGTACAGGGCGACCAAGGCAGTCTCTGTACCAAAACCCGGCCTGAAACCCGATTGAAATGGATCCAGAAAATCCGTTTCATCCAGCAGCGCCTGGAGTTGCCCGGCCACAACCCGCTCCAACACCTTGCCCAAATAAGGGAGGTTCGCCACTGGTCGGTAGTTGACCACCAGCCTTGGGTCCAGATTAGGCTTTTTAAGGAGTGGTCAAATTGCTGCCTCTTTCAAGGCGGTAGGGACCACTCCCTCTCTCAGAGAAGCGTTCACGGCCTCCTGGACCCAGGTGCGAACCCCCCTGGCCGATCTTCCAATTAGCCAGGATGGGCAAGGGTCGAGCGGAGTGGTGGTAGAACAGACAGATCCAGTATGTTCATCAAGTCAGATCTAACTGAGATTAAATACAGTGGTGCCTCACATTACAATGTTAATTCGTTCCAGCAAAATCGCTGTAGAACGAAAACATAAAGCGAAATTAAAAAGCCCATAGAAATGCATTAAAACCTGTTTAATGCGTTCCGATGGGCTTGAAACTCACCGTCCAGCGAAGATCCTCCATAGCACGGCCATTTTCACTGCCTGTGCAGCGAGGAATCCGTCCCAGAAAAGAGCGGGAAGCCATGTTTTTTACCCGGTGGCCATTTTGAAACCGCTGATCAGCTGGCCGAAAATCATCACTTTGCGAGAATCGGTTCCCGAAGCAGGGAACCGATCATCCCAAAGCGAAATTCCTCCATAGGAAACATTGTTTTGCGATCGCAAAAAGTTCATCGTAATGCGATTTCGTCGTTAAACGAAGCAATCGTAAAGCAAGGCACCACTGTAACTGGAAACAGTTACAACAAAGATTATGTTTCAGATGTACTGGAATACATCAACAAGCAGTGAAATGATGTAGAAAACTCAGTTGTGTACTTCAAAATAACACAGTGTATGCAGAAACTGAGAGATCTCATGTTCAAACAGATACCACAAAATCTATTAGAATTAACTTCTCAGATCTGACTTGAAGTGTTCAGTTCTGCATTTTAAGTAACAGTTAAATAAAGAAGTTGTTTGCAAGAAAAAATGAGCATTTATGCTGCTCTCTGAGGTTACTGAAAAATAATATTTGTCTAAGTGTGAAGGAAGGGATGTGGTGGCGCTGTGGGCTAAACCGCAGAAGCCTGTCGTGCAGGGTCAGAAGACCAGCAGTCGTAAGTTCGAATCCACGTGACGGAATGAGCCCCCGTCGCCTGTCCCAGCTCCCGCCAACCTAGCGGCTCGAAAGCATGCAAATGTGAGTAGATAAATAGGTACCACCTTGGCGGGAAGGTAAACAGCGTTCCATGTCTAAATCACACTGGCCATGTGACCACAGAAAGATTGTCTTCGGACAAACGCTGGCTCTATGGCTTGAAGAGCGGGATGAGCGCCGTCCCCTAGAGTCGGACACGACTGGACAAAAATTGTCAAGGGGAACCTTTACCTAAGTGTGAAAGCTAAACAGAAGATCTGCATTTCAATGTTATGTTAAAGCAACAGTTAGGTCTGGAAATAACTGGACATTGACACAATTTTTATAATTCTGGCTCTGTAGGTCAACAAAGTGGATTTGAAATGAAACAACAACTGAGATGCAACTGAAGTCCAGACTTTCATCTTTAATTCAAGGGGTTGAACAAAAATATCATACGAAATGTTCAGGAATTGCAACAATTTCCTTACACAGCCCCCTTATTTCAGGGGCTCAAATATAATTGGACAAATTAACACGACAAATAAAATGTTTACTTTCAATATTTTGTCAAGAATCCTTTATAGCAGTGGTCCCCAACCTTAGGCCTCCAGATGTCCTTGGACTAAAACTCCCAGAAGCCTTCACCACCACTTCTGCTGGCCAGGATTTCTGAGAGTTGAAGTCCATCTGGAGGCCCACAGTTGGGGACCACTGCTTTACAGGCAATCACTGCTTGAAGTCTGGAACGCATGGACATCACCAAACACTGGGTTTCCTCCTTCGTGATGGTTTGCTAGGCTGTTGCTGCAACTGTCTTCAGTTGTTGTTTGTCGGACTTTCTGCCTTACGTTTTATCTATGGTTTGCCAGGCTGTTGTTGCAACTGTCTTCAGTTGTTGTCGGACTTTCTGCCTTACGTTTTATCTCCAGCAAGTGAAATGCATGCTCAATCAGGTGATTGACTCTGCCATTGCAGAATATTCCACTTCCTTGCCTTAAAAAAACTACTCAGCTGCTTTTGCACTATGTTTTGGGTCACTGTCCATTTGTAAAGCGAACCAACATCCCAGGCTGTTGTTGCAACTGTCTTCAGTTGTTGTCGGACTTTCTGCCTTACGTTTTATCTCCAGCAAGTGAAATGCATGCTCAATCAGGTGATTGACTCTGCCATTGCAGAATATTCCACTTCCTTGCCTTAAAAAAACTACTCAGCTGCTTTTGCACTATGTTTTGGGTCACTGTCCATTTGTAAAGCGAACCAACATCCAATAAACTTTGCTTATTGAATCTGAGCACTGAATCACTGAATCTGAGCAATTTATCCCTATACACTTAAGAATTCATCTGACTGCCTCTGTCTTTTGTCACATCATCAATAAACACTGGTGACCCAGTGCCACTGGAAGCCATGTATGCCCATGCCATCACACTGCCTCCAACATGCTTTACTGATGTGGTATGCTTCAGATCATGAGCCTTGTGCTTACGTTTTTCTTTCAATCTTCTGGTACAGGTTGGCCTTAGTTTCATCTGTCCAAAGAATGCTGGCCCGTCTATTCTTGAGGCTTAAGAATGGTTTGCACCTTGGGGTGAACCCTCTGTATTTGTTCTGGTGAAGTCTTCTCTTTATGGTAGATTTAGATAATAATATGCCTAACTTCTGGAGAGAGTTCTTCACTTGGCTGGATGTTGTGAAGGGGTTTTTCTTTACCATGGAAAGGATCCTATGATCTTCCACCACTGTTGTCTTCTGTAGACATCCAGGCCTTTTTGTGTTGCAGAGCTCAGCAGTGTGTGTGTTTTTTTTCTCAGAACACACCAGACTGTTGATTTGGCCACTCCTAATGTTCCTGTTATGTCTCTGATGGATTTCTTCGTCTTTTCTTTTCTTTTTCTTTCTTTCTTTGCATCCTAAAGATGGCTTGTTTCACTTACACTGAGATCTCCTCTAAACGCATGTTGTGGGTTCACAGCAACAGCTTCCAAATGTGAATGCCACACCTGGAATCAACTACAGACCTTTTACCTGACTGACTGATGATGAAATAACAAGAAATATCCCACACCTGTCCATGAAACAGCTTTTCAGTCAATTGTCCAATTACATTTAGTCCCTTGGAAAAGAGGGGGCTTCATATTAAAGTTCCTCTAAACGCATGTTGTGGGTTCCCAGCAACAGCTTCCAAATGTGAATGCCACACCTGGAATCAACTACAGACCTTTTACCTGCCTGACTGATGATGAAATAACAAGAAATATCCCACACCTGTCCATGAAACAGCTTTTCAGTCAATTGTCCAATTACATTTAGTCCCTTGGAAAAGAGGGGGCTTCATATTAAAGAGCAAGTAATTCCTAAACCTTTCTTCCAATTTGGATGTGAATACCCTCAAATTAAAGGTGAGAGACTGCACATTAAGCCCATATTAATAATTTAACTGCAACTTGAATTTATTTTGGCAAACAGCAAAAATAACAAAACTTGTGTCAGTGTCCAATTATTTCTGGACCCAACTGTATTTTCAAACTGTGCCGAACTACAATGTTTGGGGACACTTAGTGGCAAATCTACTCAGTTTGCTTCAGAAGAAATGCCCTTTGAAAAATTTGATGTTACAAAAACAAAAAAAACAGTATTACATACATAAATCTTGTTCACATTACTCCCCATGTGCTGTATCTGGTTTTCATGTCCTCACATCAAAACTTGCCAACTATATCACTGGTTCTTAACCTTGGGTTACTCTAGAGTTTTGGACTGCAACTCTCAGAAGCCTTCACCACCAGCTGTCCTGACTGGGGTATCTGGGAGTTGCAGTTCAAAAGCATCCAAGTAACAAAGGTTAAGAACCACTGAACTATATACTTCCATTTTAAAAATAAGCATCTCATGCACCTTTGAAGGAAATGTACCTCATATTTTTTAAAAGTTATCCCTGGACATAATACATTAAAAATGAGATTCAAATTCTACAACATAACTAACTTTACAAACCAAGAACTTATTTGCACTACTTTTTGTATTTGCAAGATGACTACTAATCAAAAATAATGTAAAATTGTAGTAAATGCTCTGCAGTGATGAAAAAGTCCTCTTCTATCTTAGCGGCTTTTCAATCATTGCTTTGAAAGCACTCAAAAGTGTTTATCTATTCAGATTAAGTGGAATACGTCTCAAACTACATCTAGAGTCAAACTAGTCCTTAACAGAAATGTATAATCCCTATGATTAAATTCTTCCCCCTCCCATAATCAGACTTCTTAAAATACCTGCCTCAGAAATCATATTTCAGAGTCTAAATTTATCTTCAAAGAAATGATCAGAAAACACAAAGTAGGGGGAGGAGAACACAAAATATACTGCCATCCAATCTATTCATGTTGCCATATCGACTTTCCACTTTTCTACTATATGACTGCCTTCCAGGTTATAAGTTATATTTACATCCTAGTTTTAATCTATGTTATTCAAGTACTATCTGGTGGCTCAAGCCATTTATGTAATAAATCCCATAATTCAGTTGCCTTTATTTATCCCCCGCCTGTCTGGACCAGTGGACCACTTCTTGTTCCGGTATCATCAATTTCTTCCAATTCTTGGCATAAAGAATTCTGGATGCAGTGACTACGTATATAACTAAGTATGGTACCATATTTTTCGCTCCATAAGATGCACACGCTCTCCCCCTTTTTTTTGGGGGGGGAGTGTGTCTTATGGAGTGAATACTGGTTTCCCACTCCCGCCATCGCCACCATGACACCCTTCTCCTCCCCTTCCCGTGCAGGGAGCACTTCCGGATGATGAGCTGACTGGGGCGGAGTTTTATTTTTAAAAATTATAATTTATTTGAAAGAAAACAAGTACTGGTACCGTATTTTTCACTCCATATGCCCCCCCGCCAGTTTTTTTTTTTTTTAACCCTCCCAACCTACCCGGAGATCAAGACAAATCTTCTTTGGATTCCCACCGCCGCCATTGCCACCCTTCTACTCCCCTTCTGGGGCAGGAAGCACTTCCAGATGATGAGCTGGCTGGGGCAGTTTTTTTAGTTTTTAAATTTAATTAGGTGTGTCTTATTGTCAGATGCATCTTATAGAGCGAAGAATACGGTAATTCTTTGTCTTATCTATATTATCTGGCATAATACTCAATAAAAACAGTTCTGGGGTTAGTGGAACCTAGGATGGATAAGGATGTACACCTATCCAAAATTGCTTCACTACTCTACAAGCCCACCACATATGATAAAAACTTCCCTCATGTGCTTCACACTTCCAACAAACACTTGATACATCTGTATAAATCTTTGAAAGTTTTTGCAGTCATATGCCACCTATAAAACATCTCATATATATTCTCCTTCAAATTAACCAATTTTGTGAGCTTTGTATTATTTTGCCATTTTTGCAACCATTGATCAATATCAATATTATGTCCTATATTTTGTGCCCACCTAATCACACATTCTTTATTTCTAACAAATAATCATACATTTTCTTAATTTATCTTTTGAGCCAAGCAGAAATTTGTCAAATATTGTTTGTTTTGGGTAAAAAAACCCTTCCATTTTGTCTTTTCTATACCTAGATTCCACTTGTGCTCTTGACCACCAGTCGATAGATAGATAGATAGATAGATAGATAGATAGATAGATAGATAGATAGATAGACAGACAGACAGACAGACAGACAGACAGATAGATAGATAGTCTCTAACTCTTCTTTAGATCTTAACTCACAATCCTTTTTAAAATAAATCTTGGTATCTTTCCATTTTAAAACTGAAATACAAGAATATTCAACATGATATATGTCTTTGTAACGCTGCTTTCTTGTTTGGGTTCTAGGTAGCAAATATGTTACTATTGTGTGCATCCTATCTTCCAGTTAAATACTACTCCATTTTTAAGTCACTGTTGTACTCTCTTCCAAAAAATGCAGCAGCCAGATTTCTGATTGGAGTTGGTTACAGAGATCATATAACCCCCCTCTGTTACAGCAGCTCCACTGGCTGCTGATCCATTTCCGGGCTGAATTAAAGGTTCTAACCCATAAAGCCATGAATGGCTTGAGCCAAGCTATCTCAAGACCCATATTTCCTTTATGAGCCTGCTCAAGTGTTAAGATCATCAGGATAGGCATTTCTTGCAATCCTGCGACCTTCATGCTTGCATTTGGCAGGTATATGGGAAAGGGCCTTCTCTGTTGCTGCTCCCAGACTTTGGAACTCCCTCTCACAGGAGGCTAGGCTGGCCCCATTTTTGCTGTCCTTCCACAAGCAAGCAAATTCCTTTCTCTTCAGGCAAGCTTTCTCTGAGTGACCAGCTGCTTTAGTGGAGTGTCTAAACCGATTGTTGTACCTTAATACTCTGAATATGTTTTGGTATTCCTTATGGATTTTTTTGTACTGCATTTGATCCTTTTTAGTATTTGTATCTTCACTGATGTTAGCTTTAAACTCTCTCTTTTTAATGAGGTAAGCCACATTGGGTTCTTTTAAGGAGAAACACAGGGTAAAAATATTTTAAATAAATAATCACAGTTTACTGTTTTAATGAACATTTCATTATATGCTACATTTTGTTTATTAGGAGCATAGTATTTACAATTGACAATTTGGAAGTGAGGTGGGTAAGACAATCAGTAAAATTCATGATCTAAAAATTTAGATTATTATACCTTTGGAGGCTGCTGTTCCAGAAGCTGCTGCCGAAGATGTTCTAGGTTTTGTTGCTGTAATTGTTCAGCCAGTTGATGAAAAAGAGAATTGTTCACAGATTCAGATACAAGGGGCCTAAAATACACAATAGAAACAACAGTTTCTACAGTTTCTTTCTTTCTTCAGGCTCAGCTAAACGTTGCATTTCTGTGGCATGCTTAGGTATCCTTCATCCTAAAGAAGTAAAGTGGATTCCACAATGTTGCTATGAAAAAAGGGAACACTTCCATTCACAGAAAGGGTCTCTTCTGAAGTCACATTCTTGGTGCCATCTCCAGAGGGCTTGCAAACTCTGGAGCACAAGAACATACAAAGGTGCCTTATCCACTGGCACATCCAAGACTAGTATTGTTCAGTTTGAACAGCAATAACTGAACCTCTGGGTGTAGCAGGAAGGAAGGGGGAGAATAAGAAAATCCTTTTTTGGATAATATTGATTTTTTTGGACAATACTGATTTAAGGAAACTTATATCCTATTTTTCTCTTTCTGAAAAAAACACTGAAGCATATAATAAAAGCATATTCTGCTCATGAGAAATTAGGATCCAAGTTGATGCCTTATGTATACTAAAATCACAAAGACTTAGAACTTGGAAAATACATTTGAAGAAAAGGGCGCAAGTCTATAACATTTGTAACAACAAATCATTTTCCCTAAAGAGCAACTACTGTATAAATCTGGAAACCTACCTCCAATTAAATGAGTAAGAAGAATGTTACAGGCAATAAAACACAGTAAGTACACCACGTATTTCATATGAATTTTTTAATTTCTCTCTAATAAAGCTATTACTTAAATAACACTGCAGTCACCAGTAGATGATCTTATTGCTCAACTACTGGCCTCCATTATTGTAGACTAAATTTAAAAGAAAACAATAGAGACTATGATGGAAGCAGTTTTCAAAGATGTAGCTGCATTAGTCTATTTAGAAACAGCACCTTGAAGATCAGCATATGTATTTTAGTATGCACTACAGAAGAAGTGTCTTGAAGGTATAAAAGTTCACATTGAAATAAATTTACTAAACCTTAAAGTGTTGAAACACTTTTGCTTTTATTACTCTTGTGAAGGAAAAGAAGTACAAATTAAAAAAACCTAATGTGCAGAACAAAGATTTGCCCATTTCTTCTTTCGATTACAACACCTCCTTTTGCACTGAAGGGCACTGATTATACCCCATTTTTTTATAGAGGATGAAATGGAACAAAAAAGAGAGGTTACTTACCTGTAACCATGGTTCTTCAAGTGGTCATTCTGTGAATTTACACAGAAAGGTTTAAGTCAGCGCCAGCGTCGGTTCCTTCGGAATGTTCTCTAGCTCTGCAGAAAAGAAACATAACCACTGTAGTTTAAGATAGCCTACATTGCGCATGCTCCGCCCGCCCAATCCTCAGTTCCATTTTTCCGCCACAAACAAGAGTTTGAGGTAGATAAATTCAGTGACGGAAAGTGGGGAGGACGGGCGGGCTTGTGTGAATTCACAGACTGACCACTTGAAGAACCATGGTTACAGGTAAGTAACCTCTCTTTCTTCATTGCGGTCTTCTGTGAATGCACACAAAAAGGGTGACTAGCAAGCTAACTCACCGGAAGGAGGGTCGTCACTGAAGAGCAGAAGTCAGCACAGCCCTGCCGAATCTTGTCTCGGTTTTGGCCCTCAAGTCCAACCTGTAGTGTGAGATAAAGGTGGATGCTCAGGACCAAGTCGCAGTGTGGCAGATATCAGGTAAATCCACACCGCTCAGGAGGGCTGCAGAAGAAGCAACTGCTATCGTCGAGTGAGCACAGAGACCTTCAGGTGGTGTCTTATGCTGGAGCTCATAGGCCAGCAATATGGCAGAAACAAGCCACCGAGAAAGTGAGGACGGCGATGCTGGGAGAACTTTCTTTGGTCCAAAGTAGCAGAGAAACAATTTAGGAGATAATCTAAAATCCTTTGTGCGTGACACATAAAAGGCAAGAGCTCTTCTAACATCCAAGGGGTGGAGCATGTGCTCCGTGTCGTTGGTAGGCTCAGAAAACAAAGTAGGTAGTAAGAGAGGCTGATTCAAGTGAAAGTCTGATACCACTTTGGGAAGAAACGAGACATCAGTGTGTAGTATAACTTTATCCCAGAAAAATTGCAAAAATGGTTGATCAACTCGCAAGGCAGCTAACTCACTGGCTCTGCGTGCTGAGGTTATGGCCACTAAGGATAATACTTTGATGGACAGCATCTTGAGGTTGCACGTGGCCATAGGCTCAAAGGGCGGCTGCATCAGGAAGTGTAGTACGAGATGGAGTGACCATTGCGGTACAGGCCGCTTCACAGGTTGGAGATGTGTTAGTCCTTTGAGGAATGCTTTAACCGTGGGGTGAGAGAAGAAACAAGAGGCTGGGGAACCTCGAGGTTGGAAGGAGATGATAGCAGCAAGATAAACTTTCAACGTGGAAATAGATCAGTTGAAGTCAAACAAGTACCGGAGAAACTGTAACAACGTGGGGAGGGTAACTGGGGAAGACGTGAGACCCCTGGATTCAGTAAACTTGAGGAAACTTTTCCACTTATACCCATAAAGTAGAGTAGTGGAGTCTTTTTTAGACTTGTCTAAAACTTCCTTAATCTCGGGGATATCCTCCACGCAGTGAGATGAAGGGTCTGGAGATCTGGATGGAATATCTTGCCCGCATCCTGCGTGAGCAGGGCGGGAAAGAGCGGAAGTTGGATTGAGTCTATTGCCATCAACACCAGGGTCGGGAACCACAACTGATGAGGCCAAAGCGGTGCTATGAGAATCGCCTGTGCCGAGTCTTGGCGGAGTTTCACTAATGTTCTCTGCAACAGGGGAAATGGAGGGAATAGGTAAAGAAGGCCCATGGTCCACGGGATCATGAAAGCATCCCCTAACGAATCTTGACCCCGGACGGCCCTGGATGCGTAGAGGGGACACTTCTTGTTGGCTTGATTGGCAAAAATGTCCACACGAGGTGTGCCCCAGCGGTGGCACAGATCCTGAAAAATGGAGGTGTTGAGCTCCCACTCGTGCATCTGTACTGTGCGGCGGCTCAACTTGTCGGCCAGAGCATTGTCAGTCATTGACACATGTACCGCCACAAGAAAAATGTGGTAGCGGTAACACCATTCCCACAGTGTGACCGTCAGGAATAGAAGTGAGAATGAGTGCCCCCTTGCTTGTTTATGTAGTACATGGCCGTGACTATCTGCACACCACAGCCATGTACTAGGGGCAAAAAAGCTCTGAGTGCCTTGATGACCGCTAGGATCTCTAGGTGGTTGATATGTAACATCTGTTCTTGTGGAGACCACCGGGTATGTACGCGATGACGGCCGCAGTGAGCCCCCCATCCCATGGGGCTTGCGTCTGTGGTGACTTGGGTAGTCAGCTGCAGTGGTAGGAAAGGGCGTCCCACTTGTAGGTGAGGTATGAACAACCACCATTGCAGTTGTCTTGCCAACTCCGGTGTGACTCGTAGACGTTTGTTCTGAGGATGACGGGGTGGGTCGAAAAGGGACAGAAGCCAAACTTGTAACGACCTGAGCTTGAGTCTGGCATGAGCTAAGCCCAGCTTTGTTGATGCCATAAGTCCCAGGAGATGCTGAGCATGGAGCGCGGTGACTGTAGCTCCTGGTTTCAATTTTTTCACAGCCTTTAAGATCTTTCGGATCCGGTCTTGTGGGAGAAAGATGTGACCTTTGTTGGCATCTATGGTAGCACCAATGTAATTTACAGTACGTGGGGGGGGGGTGAGATAAGACTTCTTGTAGTTTACTGTGAGACCTAGGTTTCGGAGTACATACAAAGTGAACCTTGTGTCTTTCAGGGCCCTGCACCTGGATGGGGAGACTATCAGCCAGTTGTCGATATAAGGAAACACATCGACACCGTGGAGCCTCAGGTAAGCTGCGACAGGCGCCATGCACTTCACGAATGTTCGAGGTGCCATCCCGAGACCGAACGGAAGGGCCAGGAACTGATAGATGACGTTTTGGAAGACAAACCTCAGGAAGTTGCGGTGAGTGGGATGAAATGTTATATGAAAATATGCATCTTTGAGGTCTATGGCCACGAACCAATCTTTTCTTAAGATGGATAGAGTCCAGAGTTACCATGCAGAATTGGCGAGGATGGAGGTAAGTATTTAAGGTAGATCCATGATAGGCCTTATTCCGCCCTCTTTTTTGGGCACGGCGAAATACCTTGAATAGAAGCCATTGGCGATGTCTCTGTGTGGTACTTTTTGTATTGCTCGCTTTTTTAGTAAGGAGCAAACCTCCTCCTCTAAGGTAGGGTCGAATGATGTGTGTTCTACCTTTCCTAGAGGAGGATATTCTATAAACACCAGATGATAGCCGGAATGGATAATGTCTAGAACCCAGGAATCTGCTGTAATGGTGGACCAGTTTCGGAAAAAAGGTTGTAGTCGTGTTGTGGGAGTGGAGAATGGTAGTAACGTCCCGGAGTCAAAGATAATGCTTGTCTTTCTTTGCAGGGGCTTTATAAGACTGACGTTGTTGAGAAGGCAGTGCACAGTAAGTAGGGGTGGAAGAAGCACCCTGAGAAGATCTAGACTGAGACTGAGCTTTTTACTGTCTGAATTGTTGTGAAGGTGGATTATATTGAGTGGAAGGCTTTCTCCATTGGTACCTGTTGAATCGTGGTTGAGGCTGAATATATTAGGACTTAGTCATCTTTTTAGCTTTAGGTAGTTCTTCCAGATAGCTGTCAGTTTTTTCATTAAAGAGGCCAGAGGCATCAAAGGGAAGATTTTCAACTTTAGTTTTAACATCATCTAAAATGTTGGCGGAGCGAAGCCAAGCGTGCCTACGAAGGGTTACAGATGAGACAAGGACCCTAGCAGCAGCCTCCACGGAATGCCTGGTAGCGATCCTTTGATGTTTGGATACAGTTTGTGCTTCTTCAAATGCATTAAGGTATCCCTATCGAACATCCTCTGGAAGCAATTGCAAGCCTGGAAGGATCTTCAGCCACAGTTGCTTTTGATAAGCACCTAAGGCGGTTTGGTAATTGGCCACACGAAGTTAAAAGGAGATAAGGGAATAGATGTGTCTGCCAATCATTTCCAAATGTTTACCCTCCTTGTTTGTAGACCTCCATGAGCTCTTCCTGTTGGTCTGGTGCAGCTAGTTTCAACAATGAGCGAATTAGGAATTGGATGTTTTAGGAGAAATTTAGCATCGTCACCATTAATTTGTACATGTTTTCAGTGCGTCTGTGTTGGCTGACTGCAACCAAAGGATGGTCCCAAAGCTCTTTTATAATTTTTAGCAAAGCTGGTAGGTAGGATAAACTAGGAGGCGGGAAGCGTTCTTTGTTAATATCTCCAAAGATAAGATCCTCCTCTGGTGGAGCAGGCTCATCTACGTGCAACTTCAGTGTCTTTGCAAGCCTTGACAGCATTTGGGAATAAGAGGAGAAAACCTCTGAGGGGGAAGAGTCATGTGGATCACCTATATTGGACTTGACCGTTTCCCCCACTGGCAACTCGTCCCCTTTTGGCTGTTGAGGAAGGTCACGATCAGAGTCAGAACCATGAGAGGAAAAAGGCAGTTCATCATCCGATGAAAGCTCATGGCCCCTGTCTGGACGTCGAGGGTGGATATTGAGGGGTAGAACAGTAGTACGTTGTTGAGGCGGTAGCGGGGTGGCCATAGAAACAGGCATAGTAGGAGGACCGGCTGGCAAGCAGAGCTGGTTGAGAGGGCTTGCTCGGTTGGTCCCTGTGTCGACGTCGGTGCTTCCTAGGGGGGGGTCGACGCGGAGGAAGACGAGGATACGTAGATGTATTTTACATGACGACGTCGATGGCGTTCTGACGATGTGGAGGGAGAGGACAAGGTGTAGTCCCTCTTGCGGTGACGTTGATGCCTCCTATGCCTCGACCCCGACGTGGTAGATTCCTCTGAGGAAGACCTGGGTCGACGTGGAGAACGCCGCTTGCCTCCATGCTCCTTCAATTGACGTCGATCGCTGGAACGTTTTCTCTTCTCCGGTGTCTTCGGAGGTGGACTCGAACGCGAAGGAACCGGAGAAACTGAAGGAGCCAGAGATGCCCGCCCAGTGGAAACAGGGCTAAGAGGGTCTGAACCCAAGCTTGCAGTGACCTGGACAAGCTGGCTTGGCGTCGGGGAAAGCGCGCCAAGGGGTACAATTGGCTCAGGTTGTCTTGGAGGGAGGGAAGGAGCTGCCTCCGACATGGAATCTTTATCCCTAGAGGAGTCTTCTAGGATCGGCAAGGGGAGAGACGAAGAGATGGAAGGAAGGTGCTGCGTGGAGAATTTATTTTTGACTGGTTGTTTTGTCTTCGCTTGCTTTGCAGGCTTGGGCGCTGCAGCAGCCTTGGAAGAAGACGCTTTTTTAACTGCAGCTTTTTAAGGTGGTTTGGCAGCAGAACCCTCAGAAGGAGCAACCCCAGGTAACTGTTGGGGACTACTCTCAGGAAGAGGAGTGGTAGTTGAGGCTGGAAGCTCCATAGTCGATGGTTTAGAGGCTGAGAGAGCAGAGTCCCACAAGTGTAGTTTAAGCTGCTGCTGCCACGCTTTCAGAGCAGCTTTGGTAAATGCTTTGCAATGTTCGCAATGCTGAGGAGAATGGGATTCCCCTAAACAGAAAAGGCAAGTGTCGTGCCCGTCGTGGTAAGGAATTTTAGCAAACGACACACCGACTAAAGGGGCCAGAGGGGGGGGGCAGAGGCAGAGGCAAGAGGACCAGGAAGGGCCGGTAAAAAGGGCGGGAACGGGAGCATTCAGAGAGTCCCTAGAAGCAATAAAATCGTCAAAGCCAAGTCCAATTATCAGCAGGAAAGTCCAAAAAGCACACCAAGTCAGAAAAAAACAGAGATAGACCATAGAAAAACAGCTAATTTAGCAGAGCTAAGAAGCAAGGAACCACTTCGCACAGTGGAGAAATGGAACTGAGGATTGGGCGGGCGGAGCATGCGCAGTGTAGGCTATCTTAAACTATGTTTCTTTTCTGCAGAGCTAGAGAACATTCTGAAGGAACCGACGCTGGCGCTGACATAACCCTTTCTCTGTGCATTCACAGAAGACCACGATGAAGAATTGGATGTTTTCTGAACATCCCAAGAGCATACCCTAAACAGCATGTATGGTCTTTTATTTATCATTTGAAATTCCCAGAACCTATTTTTCTAAACACATCCACAGATGCTCTTAAGATTCCAGTTATGAGACAGAAAACTACCCTTGAAAAATATTCAGGAATTTCAGTTGGGCCACAATGCTACAGCAGGATTGCTGCGTGACTACAGCATTCTGGACTAGCTGCACTTAATTTTTTTTATTTTTTTTTATTTATTTAACCTATATGCTGCCCACACTACCCAAAGGTCTCCGGGCAGCTTATAACAATTAAAATACAATTTAAAAGATAAAACAATTAAAATACAATTAAAATAGATACTCTAAAAATTGCCATCAGGACCCATAGTTGATATTATTTCAATTAAAAACCTCCTGGAACAGGAAGGTTTTGACCTGGCACCGAAATGTAATCAGCATCGGTGCCAGACGAATCTCAGTCATGAGGGTGATCTATAGTCTGGAAGCAGCTGCCAAAAAGGCCCTTTGTAGTCATCCCTCTTACCTCCTTGAGAGATGGCTCTTTCAAAAGGGCCCCCGGGCTACTTAACTGCCAGATAGGTTCATATGGAAGGGGGCGGTCTTCAAATATCCAGGGCCCAAGCCATTTAGGGCTTTATATGTCAAAACAAGCACTTTGAATTGGGCCCGGGCAGCAACTGGTAGCCAATCTAATTTAAACAAAATCGGCTTGATATGTTCCCTAGTGGCCCCACCACTCATCAGCCACGCAGCTCGATTCTGGACCAGTTGCAGTCGCCGGACCGTCTTCAAAGGCAGCCCCACATACAGCGCATTGCAGTAATCTATAAGAGATGTTACTAGTGCATGTATAACTGTCATGAGACTCTGCTCATCCAGTAGGGCTGTACCTGATATAATTTCCGCAGCTGAAGGAAGGCATCCCTGGCCACCAAGTCCATCTGGGCTTCCAAAGTTAGACTGGGGTCCAGGAGCACCCCCAGGCTGTGGACCCTGTCCCTTAGGGGGAATGTAACCCCATTCAGGGCAGGGAAATGGCCCTCCAACCTGTCTGCCGAAGCACCCACTAACAGCACTTCCGTCTTGTCTGGATTGAGTTTCAATTTATTAACCCTCATCCAGTCCATTATCAGGTTCAGACATGAGTTCAGCACAGACACCACCTCACCTGGATTGGTGGAAAACGAGAGGCAGAGCATATTGCTGACTCCTCAGCCCAAACCTCCTAATGACCTCTCCCAGCAGTTCCATGTAGATGTTAAACAGCATGGGGAACAGTATTGAGCCCTGAGGAACCCCATGACATAACTGCCATGGGACAGAGCAACTGTCCCCCAGCACCACCTTTTGGACACCATCAGCCAGGAAGGAGCGGAACCACCCTAAAGTGGTGCACCTGACTCCCAACCCAGCCAGCCTATCCAGAAGGACACCATGGTCGATGGTGTCAAAAGCCACTGAGAGGTCCAGGAGTATCAACAGGGTCACACTCCCCCTGTCTCTCTCCCAGCAAAGGTCATCATACAGGGCAACCAAGGCAGTCTCCGTACCAAAACCAGGCCTGAAACCCAACTGAAATGGATCCAGAAAATCCGTTTCATCCAGCAGCACCTGGAGTTGCCCGGCCACAACCCGCTCCAACACTTTGCCCAAATAAGGGAGGTTTGCCAATGCTCGGTATTTAACCACCAGCCTTGTGTCCAGGTTAGGCTTTTTAAGGAGTGGTCGAATTACCGCCTCTTTCAAGGCGGTAGGGACCACTCCCTCTCTCAAAGAGGCGTTCACGGCCTCCTGGACACAGGTGCGAACCCCCCTGACTGCTTCAAAATGAATGGCAAACTCATCACAGCGAGCTGATGAGCAGTCCGGGACCTCCACTGGATTTCCCGGTTGAAGAAGATCCCGGACCACCCAAAACAGCTCTGAGGAAGCAATACAGCTGGAGTAATATTGCCGTTTCGCCAGCCGTACTGCCACGAAGTAAGCCCAATAATGGGGTCTAAGTCGTGTTCGATTGGACTCCCAGCGGGATTTCCTCCACTTGCACTCCAGCTGTATCCCCTCTTGCTTCATCGCCCGCAGTTCAGAAGTATATCAAGGAGCGGTCTGGGCTCGGCGAGAAGGGGCAGGGCGTGTCAACCTCCCAGGTCATCTCCCTATTCCATAGGGTGACCTGAGCTTCGACAGGAGTGCTGACCATATCAGATGGATAATCCCCCAGAGCGTTCATGAAACCATCCAGATCCATAGTCTCCGAGGGTGGAACATCTTAATAGATCCCCCACCCTTGCAGAGGGGAGATGCTAATAGAGTAAATTTGACCTGGAAGTGGTCTGACCATGACACAACCAGCCCCTCCACATCCAAACCACCATCTTCCAGTCCAGTTGAGAAAACCAGGTCCAAGGTATGGCCCTTCTAATGTGTCAGTCTGATGACACATTGAGACAGCCCCATGGTTGTCATGGCGGCCATGACATCCTGAGCCGCTCCAGTCAAGGCAGTCTCAGTATTGATGTTGAGGTTCCCCAACACCAACAGCCTGGGAGCCCTCAACACCAGGTCTGAAACTACCTCCATCAGCTCAGGCAGGGAGACTGTTGGAACGCAGCAGGGTGGGCAGTACACCAACAAAATCCCCAATCTGTCTTGTAAGCCCAACACACAATACAGGCCCTCAAGACCTCCTCTCAAAGAGATAGGAAGCCTGGTCAAAGAGATAGAACTCCTATAGACTATAGCAACTCCCCCTCCCCGACCCTCTGAGTGACATTGGTGCTGGACCGAGTACCCAGGAGGACAGAGGGCAGCCACTCTCCTCTCCCACCCAGGTCTCAAAAATGCATGCCAGGTCAGCACCCTCATCCAGAATTACATCATGGGTGAGGGCAATCTTATTCTGTACTGACCTGGCATTCATCAACAGCACTGTGTGGCTCGGGGGTTTGCTGATATGGTCACCTGATACCATCTGGTTGGGGGTAGGACTAGAAGAGGGGATAGATGTAAGATATCTAACCTCTCTTCTCCTACGTGGCCATGTTCTACCTCCACCGCCATTCCTTCACCTACTTCCTAATTACTTTTCAGAAATTTCAGGCTGCTGACTGGATCTGGTTACAGGAAGTACATGGCCTTCCTGATTATACCAGCTTATTGGCTTTTGGACCGTTTCTGGGAACAATTCCTTTAAAGTCTTGTACTGCTGACCAAATTCTTTGAAAGACTGTTTTTCCACAGGCATTAAGGAAGAAACACACATACAGTAAATAAACAGAACAAAAACCTATGTGACCATTAGGCCAATTGAATGGCATCTACTATTGTATCTAAATCTTTTAAAAGAAAAATAAACATGTTATATATGTAAATTACTAGTGTATCAGAAAGCATGTTTATCTCAATAAGCTGAGATACATACATTTGATCTGAGCCTATGCTACAGCCTAATTTTATGGAGAGAGCTGTTCTGAGCATGAAAATGTGTAAAGAAGCTCTTGTAACATGTGCTGATTCTAGAATAAGACTGCAGAAAAATATCAAAGGCATAAAATAAAGCCCATTTTATATTGAGCTTGGTATTAAATTAAAATTGTCCTAACTTTAAACAGACACCATGAAGTACCTAAGCCTAAAAGAAATTTCATAAATAATAAAAATGTGCAAAATTTAGTCTGGATTAGGAAGTAATTTCAAATTCTAACTAAGCTTCTGAGTGCTGTTTAATGGCATTTATTGTATATTGTACTGTTGATTTCAATGTGATTTGTCATGTTGTGAACCGCCCAGAGAGTATTTGTACTACAGGGCAGTATACAAGTTGAAATAATAATAATAATAAATCAAAAATATTGAAAGTTACATCTTCTTGCCAGTAGATCAAAGCAGTGCCAACTGTAACATCCACAATTATGTAGGCAAAACAAAGACTACATGCAAAAATTGTTGTTTTAAAAGATTACTGTACATCAATATTTAAATCCACTGAAAATCTACAGAAAAGAAGAATTTTAGGGGATAAGCAAATACTAAACACTCATAGTGGCAAAATAAGTTGTTCTCTTTTTTTCCTGATTAAAATCTAGAAAAAAATATTAGAAAACTGAAGTATATTTCACAAAAGTAGAATCACATTGCAGATACATTTTCCAAACTATTTCTAATGAGCACAATAAATGAAATATTAACTTAAAATTAAAAAGTCTTACAATTGAGAAGCTTGGGTTTCTTTTTTAGGTTCTTCATTAATATCAGCTTCTTCCGCAAAATCCCCAAACCTATCCATTAGCTTCTGGGGAAAAACAAAGTATATGTTAGAAATGTACTATACTCATATGATTAAATATATTGTTTAAAAGAGAAAGCAGCTATAGATACTTGAACAATCACAGCTAAAAATGTTAAACGTTTCAGGTTCTTATTATTTGGATGCATTCAACATTATGCTAGTGAAAAGAATATTTTACTTCTCTCGTAGTTCTGCAAACACTGGCAGAACAAACTAGTTAATAAAGTCATAAGGAGTTGTAATAATACTTGGGCAAGCAGGACTGAAATATTGGATTTGATACTTTCGTAAAGATGAAAAGTAGAGATGGAGGTATTCGAATACGAATACCCCCGCACAGGCGCAGAAAACGAGGATCCAGCCCCGTGAGGCTGGCTGGTCCACTCACCGACGCACTAATGCCACCTGGTCTGCACTGCCATCCTATCATTCCAGATATTGCGATTGCCAAGTCACTCTTCAACCTGGCAGAGAGGTTTGTCATCCCGCCTACTGCCAGGAATGGCTCGGTGATTGCTATCTCCGGAGTGATAGGATGGCAGCGCAGACCCTGAGGGATTAGCACGTTGGTGAGTGCACCATCCGTCCCCATGGGGCGGGACCCTCATTATCTCCACCTGTGCCCCATCTCTAATGAAAAGGTTTCTGATAATGGCAGAAGCAAAGCACTAGCGGTGTGACAGCACAGAATAGTACCCATTGTACTTACTGTATTTTTCCGTTTATAACATGTCCCTGTTTATCAGACACCGCCCCACACTTTTCTAACCCCAAAATTAAGAAAACTTAGCTTTGAGGATTCAGCCTCTGGGCTCAGAACGGTGGACATTCTGAATCTCTGTTGAATCTGAACCTACAGGCTCCACCTCCAATGAGGTATGTTCCAATTGGTTTGTTCAGCATTAGGTGATGTCAGTTCCATAAGGCTTGTGACTGGAGGAAGCTAAGACTCTAGGACACTAAGCCTCATGATTGAAGGAAGCCTGTTTACAGAGGCAAGGTACAGACTGTTTTGTTCTCTCCTCAGCTTTCTCAGCTTACTTCCGTGTAAAAGACGCCTCTCAATTTTCAGTGTAACAATTTTAGGAAAAAGCAGCGTCTTCTACACAGAAAAATACAGTACTTGACATGTAAGATGGTTTTTTAAAAGCTAAAACACAGGTTAGGAATGTAACAGCAAAAAATATGATAATACAAATCAGTGCATTCTCGAAGGCTTTCACAGGCGGAATCCAATGGTTGTTGTAGGTTTTTCAGGCTGTTTGGCCATGTTCTGGAGGTTTTTCTTCCTAGTGTTTCGCCAGTCTCTGTGGCTGGCATCTTCAGAGGACAAGAGTCAAAACTCTATGCTCTGGTGCAGTTTGTGGGATAGTAAAGTATTATAGTCCCACAGATATAAATAACTGCACCAGAGCACAGACAGAGTTCTGACTCCTGTCCTCTGAAGAATCCAGCCACAGAGACTGGCAAAACATTAGGAAGAAAAACATCCAGAACACGGCCAAACAGCCTGAAAAACCTACAACAACCACAAATCAGTGCCTTCTAGAGCTACACCTAATACTTGTCTTCAGTGTAACACTGGACATGTTTTCATATATTTATTTATTTAAAATATTTTCACCCCACCTTCTTCCTTAAAATTTGCAAATCAAAACCTGTTACCCACATGCAGCCAATAACACATTTAATGTTGGTTACTTGGGTGCCCATAAGTGATCTATGACCCACATTCAGTGATATATTAACAGACAGGCATTCAATAAGCCAATATGGTTATTGGACCATCCATATAGTTTTGTATGAGGAAAGCTGTTTTACATTTTTAGGTCAAGGTTTAAACCAGACCTTATAAACTGGTTGTGTGTGTGTGTATAGTAATAAGCCCTTGGGACTGAAAAGAAACGTAAAACTGAAAAGCCTATGAATATCTGCAGTGACCTTGCAATATTCTGTATATGCAAAGTTACAATCTAAAAGATTTCTTCAAAGTCGGTAAATCAACTGCTACCTTATTGAAAGAGACACTCTGTTCTAGTGGATTAAGTGTATTGGCGGCGGCGGCAGCAGCTGTAAGTTGTGCAGTGAGGGCTTGTAACTGAACAACAAGACCAGCATCTAGCGCCTGAAGCAGCGATGGCTGGGGTTTTTGCTGTTGCATTTGCAATGTCTGTATTAATTGCTGAAGCTAAAATGAGGCAGAGGAGAAAAGAAGAATTACAGATTATTACTTTTTTGCAACATCATACATATTATCCTGTGCTAGACATAAATTCTGACATTATTTACCATGCTAGCCTAGATAAGGATGGTAAACACCAACAAACCAAAAAAAGAAAAAAAAAGAACAAAATTCTTCCATCAGCTCAATACTAAACTGAATTTTAAAAGAAAAATTAAAAAAAACACTGTGATGCATTGAGATACAGGCTACAATCCTATAGCCAATCTATGCCTTTGTAAGCAGCAATGGCAAACTACCAAATATTTAACAAAGCGCTAGCTGCATTTTGGGCATACACCCAAAAATACAACCAGCATTTTGTTCTGCATGACCTCCACCATTTCCCCTAAGCAACATACCGTATTTTTTGCTCCTTAAGACACACCTGGCTATAAGACGCATGTAATTTTTAGAGGAGGAAAACAAAGAAAAAATATTCTGAACCAAATAGCTCTCTTCCCATGCCACTGGGGAGAGAAAGAGGGAGAATGCCAAATCCAGGTCTCCGAGACTGTCTTTGCAAAAGCAGTATGGGGAAAAATGATCCCCTCGCCTGCACGGCCTTTGGGAATGCAGTGGGTCTTGGATGCCATTCCCCCTCTTTCTCTCTCCAACAGCAAAGGAAGAGGGCAAAAGGAGTCAAAGCAGTCCCCTGGCTCCTGATCATGGTGACTCCTTTTGCCCTGTTCCTTTGCCACTGGGGAGAAAAAGAGGGGGGATGCAATATAAGACATCACCAGGACTCGCTGCCCTTGCAGTGGGTCCTGATGAGAAGGAAAGAGATCAAAGTGATTCTAGAAAGACCAGGGGAAGCACAAACACAGTTCCCCACTACCACAACTTATGCAGTTGACTTTCCCACATTTGGGGAAATCACAGGGATCAGCACACCCAAAGTGCAATGGATGAGCCTTGCTCTGGGAAAACCATTTTCATGATCATGGTATCTCCCCTGCCAGGTAAGTATGAGTTGGAGTGGCCCCTGCACCTCCTGCCCCCTTCTGTGCCCTGCCCCCAAAGACATGGTGACCCTCCTGGCTGCATCTCCCACTCAGAACAGGGCTGCACAGCCCCAGTCCTGTCAGAGGCCAAGAGAGCTGTGTTTTGGGGTGCCCCGTGGGACCCCTATCAGGAGCTGGGTTTTCTTCCCACAATCCTCCAGTGCACAGGTATTCGCATATCTGCTTGCTTGCATCACCCAGATCTCTTCTCTACTGGAGAAACAAAGCAGGAAGGAGGAGTCTCTTTCCGTTCACCTTCTGCAGAGAAGTTAGCTGGGGAGTACAGCAACTCTCTACAGATGGCAGCTTTATTATCCTTTGCAAACTAAAGATTTGCAAACTAAAGCCCAAAACAGCTGTCGTTTTTTCCAATATACAGTATACATAAAGGATAACAAAGCTGCCATCTGTAGAGAGTTGCTGTAGCCCCCCGTTAACTTCTCTGCAGAAGGTGAACGGAAAGAGACTCCTCCTTCCTGCTTTGCTTCTCCAATAGAGAAGCCATCTGGGTGACGTAAGCAGGCAGATGCAGGCAGATATGCTAATATCTGTGCACTGGAGGATTGTGGGAAGAACACCTTTCCAGGTGGGCTCCAGGAGGCAGATTCTGGAAAGCCATCAGCTCAGATGGTGGAGCAGCAAGGTCCAATGCAGCTGCCACAGTGAGCAGCCTCTGGTGCTGGTTTGGAGGCCTTCCGCCACAGTGGTGGAACTGCGGGAGGCATCTGGGTGGGGCTGGCTGAAGAGGTTTTGAACCATTTTTATAGTATTCACTCCATAAGACGCATACACTTTACCCCCCCCTTTTGGGGGGTAAAAAGTGCGTCTTATGGAGCGAAAAATATGGTAAATCACCTTGTGGATTCTGGCCATACTCCAAAATAAACAAGGTTTTCAGTAACAATTATTTATGCACTGGTGATATTTATTAATAATCAACTGTTGGTACACAACAGGGTTTAAATGTAGAATAAATATTTAGGCTTGAATCCACTTATCCTCAATTAGGGAAGAATCACTGAATCAACTGGATTTTAAAAAGTATTAACCAATTTTCAAGTTGAATTAATTCAAAAGATCTCTAGCTAGATCCTTGAATTTAACCTGCTTTCACATCATTCATGAATGATTTTAATCATAAAGCAATGAAGAAGCATGACTATTAAATTTAGGAGAAATGAAAACAAAAACTAAGTACAATTTACCTGTTGGCCTTGTGGACTCTGTAGAATCTGTGCTACAGCAGCAAGAGTATCTGTATTGGTTATCTGAGATACCCAAGGATCAGGTAAACTTTGGATCACATTGGCTGGTGTAGCAGGTGTCACAGGTGTCCCTGAAAATTAGGAGAATGTCAGGACGTTTTCCTCCCATACTTATTATTAGAAAATGACAAAAGTCCAGTGATATAAATGGAATGAAATTATTTACATCTTTGTCCAGAAAGAGTTTACAGCAAACCATGTGAAAACAGATCTCCCAACAATATGACTACATTAACAAAATTAAAAACTGCCAAGAACTGGAACAGCAGACAGTGTCTATCCCTCCAACAACAGGAAGAACAAATATTTATGGAAAAATAGGCTGGCTGAAAAAAAACACCTTGTCATCTTCAAGAAGACACATGTCAGAAGGCACAGTTTAAATGTTCGTGTATTTCAATTAGAATAAACTGGAATGATTACAATACTCAAGACAGTGAGATAGACTGGGCACAGGCGCCGCTCAGAATCCTTTCTATGTCTTATTTATAAAAAATATCTGAAATATAATGTTTTTGTGTATTAATGCCTTTCAGTTGTTTCACACATTTTTACTATGTTTTCACAAGTGTTTTATATGTTAATATAAAGCTGATGAATATTAAGAATGTGCCTATGATTGATTGTACTATGCAGAATTAGTATCTGCTTCACCATCACTCATAAGGATAGCAAACAACAAAAGAAAAGCAACTTCTGCTTCAACATAACACAAGTGCACAACCTATAAACTATCATACGGAATGGCCATTTCAACACTATCAGCTAGCTAATCTGAAGCAAGGGAAATTGTAAGTGCTCCAACACAGGAGGCTTTAAAAAATTTTTAGATAACCATGTGGCTGATATCCTTTGATTTGTATTCCTGCACTGAGCAGGGGGATGGACTCGATGGCCTTACAGGCCCCTTCCAACTTCATTATTCTATGATTCTAAAATGTCACAAATTCCCATATCCGTCCTCATAAGGTAAAGTAAAGATAAAGGTTTCCCCTGTCAATTTGTCCAGTCGTGTTCGACTCTAGGGGGCGGTGCTCATCTCCATTTCCAAGCCACAGAGCTAGCATTTGTCCGAGGACAATCTTCCATGGTCACGTGGCCAGCGCGACTAGACATGGAACGCCGTTACCTTCCCACCGTGGGGGTACCTATTTATCTACTTGCATCTGCATGCTTTTGAACTGCTAGGTTGGTGGGAGCTGGGACAAGTGATGGGAGCTCACTCCGTCGTGTGGATTCGATCTTACGACTGTAGGTCTTCTGACCTTGCAGCACAGAGGCTTCTGCAGTTTAACCCACAGCGCCAGCACATCCCTCTGTCCTCATACTTCTTCATATTTCTTGCATGCATAAGCTTTGATACGGTTTCCCTAAACAGCACATAGGCTATCAGTGTTATATGCTGTATGTTGTCCTTGGGGAGATCTTACGTGTTCTGCTGTAGGCATCCAAGCTGCCCCGGAGCTCCCACTAACTCTACCTGCCTCACATGGCATCACTACTGCCATAATTTTGCTAGGGAAGAAAATGTGTGAGTTTAATTATCCCAATGTGTCACTCATACTTTGGTATAGTACAACACAATTTGTGAAGCAACAGGATTTCAGCTAATAGTACAAAATGAACCTGGCATGCAGAGTGGAGTCTTAAACCTCCCCACTTTCAAATTCCAAGACGAGCAGAAGGAAGATGAGACAGTGAGAGCAGGAAAATGTATGTCTCTTTGCCTATGTGATGTTTATGTTTATATTCACAGTTGGACCATGGTATCCACAGAGGACTGGTTCTAAGTCCACACTCTGGACACCAAGAAACATAGAAGTATTGAACACTATACATTGCATGGTCTCCTGCTGTCACTAATGGTCAGTTCTGGTTAATACACAGTGGAAAAACATATAAATACGTATTTCTGGGGGGTTTATAGGGGTTCCTCCTGTCTATAGATAACAAATGAGAGCTAAATAACACTTTGATCAAGATGTTTCCGGATTTATTTGAGAGATGCAGTGAATTAGTAAATAGTGTGTGTCTGTGTGTGAATCTATGCACACACTTGCATGAGTGTCTGTATGACTTGGGGCAAGAACGATTCCACTGTGCACATATATGTATACGTGATCCTGTCAAATCTTATTTAAATTACACTATTTGATTACTTGCCACATCTACAAATGATTTAATCCATGCTCAGATTTTCCCCTTTGTGTTTAAGAGAAATGTTTTTTTCCTAATAAATTAATTACTCATTATCCACAACCAAGCTACAAACAGTTTTGAAAGTTTCTAGAACTAATGTAAAAGTTTGTTACTTCTTTCCCATCATGCCAACAGGCAGGGTTAAGATAACTAAAAAAATCCTCAATTCTGATTGACATGTTGAAAAACAACAACAAATTACTCCACAGATTCTTGTACATGAACCCAGTTATGTCGACAGCTTACGGTACTTCATTTTCAACTACATTGGAAAACTATATGTGGCCAAGGATTTTGCTATTTTCAGTCTGTAACAATTCTGCAGTCTCAGATCCAAGCACAAGCTTTTTTAGAAGTTTCCATATATGCTTCAAACTATCTGATCAAACAGTGACCAATCATGTTTTTTTTTTAAAAAAAAACCCTTCAAATACAGTGAGCATTGACTACTGAACTGTCCTCTTGGAAGCTTGCATGAACTGTGATTCCTCCTTAAACAAAGTGTCTTGTTTTAAAGCGAAAATAAAAATTTTCTGACGAGCTGAAGAGAGTTGTTTTAGATTCTGGTTGTTGATGTGCTAAAAACAAGCTGGAGATACACCTGAAATAGGATCCAAGTACATAAATATGGCATAGGATCTCAGAGCTGCTGAAGCTGCCCACTTCTGATGTACTCACACAGCTTGCAAGGCTTGTGAATTTTTGTTGTAACAAGTTATTCATAACTGGTAATTGCTGTTTTTACATTTGAGCAGCTATTACAATAATATGTACACTAATGACACTTTTTCTGTTTAACAAACTGTAGAGTAACTTGCACAACAGATACAATTTGTGCATGTTTATATATTTCCCACTGTGAAGCTGCATACATCTTTGAGATGTGTTGGCACCATAAACTACCATCTAGACAAATGCATATAGACATTGCCAGGTGGGATAAGGCTACTGTTCAGTATTATTGACTACAATGACTTCTATATAAGCATCTTATTTTACTGGAAAAGAAATGGTCTCAAAAGAAGTTTGTCTTCTAATATGAAAATAGTGTCATGCTCAGAATTTTTTATACAGGGTGTTTTAATAAGCAGAGGTTTAAATGAGCAAATATTAACTGAGTCATACACTGGACTAAAATCTTTTGAAGAAAAACTGCAGAGATGTTCTCCCTTTCTCTTCTTGCATAAGAGCGCAACAAAACACTATGATGTAAATATCAAAATAATGGTCACAGTACTTCTTTATCCAAGGGGTAAAACATTCACATTCATATTCAAACATATGAATACATCAGGAAATAATGCAATCATAATCCTCAACAAAGTCACGTACCATTATTTATCCAATCTGAGCTAATACCAATCAATTCATAAAGAAATAGGTATTGAATAATGACAATACAGATAGAGAAAATCATGTTATCTGTTACCTGGGGTATTGTTACTCATAGCAGCAGCTGTCCCAGGCAAGACAGGGGTTACAACTGGGGGAGGAATTCCTGCTGCCATATCCAGTAGAGGCTGGATAATTTCACTTTTGAACACATTATTCTTCTGCCACAAATTGAGTACTCTAACGATTTTACTCTAAAAGGAAGAAAGGATAAGTATAAGTACAGTACTGGACAATTCTTCAAAACATCATCATAAACTTGTTATGGAATTGTACTTGTTTTTTTAATTCACTTGAAAGCAAGGTTCCCTCTAATCTTTGGCCCGACTGCATGGGAGCATCATCTCATGCATGCATGGGGGAGGCAGGGTTTCAGCCAAAACTGGAACTAAACAGGTATCAACACCAGCTGCTGGTGCATAGCTGCGATATAGCTCTGCAAGCATGTGCACAGTTTAGAGGGAACAGGGCTAGAAAATCAAATTTCTCTTGCATTTCCAGGTTGTTGTTTTGACTCTGTCATGATATCTAAATCTGAAACCATCATTTGGAAATCCACTTAACGTGATGTGGAAGCTGCTATTCATCAATTTGCTAACTATAAATGTATATAAAAGGTAAAGTTCCCCTTGACAATTTTTGTCCAGTCGTGTTCGATTCTAGGGGGCGGTGCTCATCCCCGTTTCCAAGCCATAGAGCCAGCGTTTGTCCGAAGACAATCTTCCGTGGTCACATGGCCAGTGCGACTTAGACACGGAACGCTGTTACCTTCCCACCGAAGTGGCCCCTATTTATCTACTTGCATTTGCATGCTTTCGAACCGCTAGGTTGGCGGGAGCTGGGACAAGCGACGGGAGCTCACTCCATCGTGTGGATTCGATCTTATGACTGCTTGGTCTTCTGACCCTGCAGCACAGGCTTCTGCGGTTTAGCCCGCAGCGCCACCACGTCCCTATAAATGTATATAGCAACCTTGACATGAATAAAGTATACAACAGAAGGAGAGTTTGTGCTGCACCCCTAATTTCCAAATCATTTTTAGAAGATAATGTGAGCTAATTCAGTGAACAAATATTTGACTTTGGATCCACAATGGCTTAGCTCAATAGTGTGACTCACGAGGAACCAAAAGAAAATGTTTTTCACTGTCTCCTCTCTGGAATATGAATAACCATAGCAGCCTACCTCAGAGAGATCAAGCTATAACAAGAAAATTAGTGTAAATCTCTTTATTCTAGTGCTCCACTTACAATTGCAAGTATGTATACTAGTATTCAAAATGGCTAAAATCCTGTTGCTTAGCTCAGTACAGTCAGCCCATTGGACTAATGGAGATTTTTATATTCTTCTATAAGTTCCATTGATTCAAACAGTCTGACTCTAATTACAACTTAGTATGCTAAAGCAAATCAGAGTTAGAGTAGATCCATTTGAATCAATGGAACTTACAGAGGAGATGACTCACTAAATCCTCACAAATCAATGGAACTTACAGAGGAGATCACTAAATCCTCACTGGTCCAATGGGCTGAGTCTAGAGTGATCTACTACACTAAGCAATAAGATTTAGGCTAACGATTTAGATTCATTTTTCTTCAAATCTACATAGCTGCAAATCAAATCAGATGGCTTTAGATGCTTTACTTTCGTACTCCAATTCCCATTTACACTATTTGGATATTACTGGCTGTCCTTGCTGGAATCATTATGGCTGAGAAAAATATTACTGAGATAACGTAAATGCTCTGAATAACATAAACATTATACAAGAATAATTTATGTTTATTACATAATTCATAGGCATCCTTCAGTCTCAAGAGACTATGGTAACATGCTCTGAATCGAGGAGTGTCCTCTCCAGAACATGAAGCCCGGGTAAGGTAATGTGGAGGATAGGCTGTTACCCAAGCAGCAGATCCCCCCTCTCCACAATGCTGAAATGATCCAATGGAAAGGCAAGAGCCAATACAACTGGTTCCAGCAATGTCGCAGGAGTTGGCAGAACGACACATGCTGCCTTCGGGACTCCAGCTCCGGATTTTGCCTCTAGGTTAACTCCTGAAGCCTTTTCCATGAGTGAATATAGCCACAAGGCAGTGGAGGTTTGAAATTGGAGTTTTCCTTCTCCTAGATGGGCTGCCATCCATGGCTGACGAGCCCCATCTACCCGGCCTGCTCTTTAATAGTGCAAAAGTACAATCTGATCCTTAAAACTTTCCAGACTCCCAGTTTTTTTTTCCTGGGCTTTCTTTTTGTCTCCTGAGCACATGGCCTGGGGGTGGGGCCTACCGGTGGGACTTCCTGATTTAAAAGAGCGTGTCCCAGGACCCTGGACCCTTTTCCCTAGGAAGCTGGGAGAGACAAGCGGGCCTTCTTAAATGAACAGTGCAAGGAAATAGAGGAAAATAATAGAAAGGGATAAACCAGAGATCTGTTCAAGAGAATTGGAGATATTAAAGGAAACCAACATAGCACCAACATAAAAGTATACAAAATTATAATCCTAGACCCAAGACATAAAACTACAATCCTTCTCTGATACACAAGTAGCAAAAAATACAACACAATCTCAAATTTAATGCAATTCTTGAAACATGTTGGAAAATCATTATTTTTAAATTCTAATATACCATCATTGTTTTTCTATATATATATATATAATAAACCAGCAGACAGCATACCTTATCATCCCCAGGGCAACGGTATAAATTCTGGAAAGTGCTAATGATGTTATTGCTAAACCTAGGCGCAAACACATCTTTTTCTTGCCCAAACTGATGTCGAGACTGTCGAACAATTGAGTCAATGACATATAAGCCAGGCACCTTGTATTCTGGTTTACACTACAAAGAAATATAGGAAGAATACAATCATTTTATTAATAAACGACTGCTTATTATAGTTTATATCACATCAACTAGCAACTAGCTATTTAGAAGTATTATTATTTAAACAGCTAGAAAACTATAGGAAACAAACCCTTCTTGTTCATATGTTATCTAATATTGTTAAATTGACTTTGTATAAAATGGAGTTTGACACTTTAAGCTCTCTAACAGTGTCATCAAGCAGCACGATGCTTTCCCCCTTGTTCATAAGGAGAGAGAAAAGTGGAACATATGTCCAGCTACAAAAGTCAATTTATCTCAGAACCCATGTAGATAGAATCCATGTAAATTACACAATTTTACATGCTTCTCCACATTTCATAACCAGTTTAAACTGTTAACGTTTTGGAAGCCACCATATGGGGCATATTGTGTCTTAAAATATGAGGTATAAATATTTTTAAATTATTATTTTTAATTATTTAGCATTGAAAATAAAATAAATAACTACCACAACAAGAAACAAGTACTTCTAAATTGTCATCAGAATTAGTTTTTTTCATTTTAATGCTATAACCATTGTGAAGTAAATTCACCAACATCAACACCTCTTAATCATTTTTCTCTGTTTTTAAACATCAAAATTTGCACCTGCACAAAATACTATAAATAGAATTTCACATCATTTTTTGTTAATAACATACCTTCTGAATGAATTTCTCAACACTTTGTACAACATGCTTGTAGAACTAAAAGAAAACAGAAAGGGTTTTTTAAAGTGGATGTAACAATAAAATAATTCATTCCTCTCTTCAGCAAGTTTCCTAAAAATGCATGTTGGATCCAATATGTAAACAATCTGACATCCGTTGGACTCACTATTTTCCAAATTCCCAAGTTACTGATATCATACAGGTAAATTGGGTAACACTATGTAGATGAAACTGATTTGTTGTTGTTTAGTTGTTAAGTTGTGTCCGACTTCATGACCACATGGACCAGAGCACGCCAGGCCCTCCTGTCTTCCACTACCTCCCGGAGTTGGGTCAAATTCATGTTGGTAGCTTCAATGACACTGTCCAGATGAAACTGATAGAAATGTTTTAAAGTGCCCTTTTTGTCCTCTCATTCTGTACAGCATGTAAATTACTCGTCTCCCAATTCTTTGTAATATCCCCTTGTGCTGCTTAATCGTATGCCCATGTACTGTATTAGGAATTTGTTGTTATGGTGGCTTGAGGAGGAAAAGAAGGAAGGAATACACATAGCTCTATGGAATCCTATGAACTCCTCCACAGCAGAATGTTCCACATGTTTAGCATTTAATCCCCAACCACTATGAAAGGAAGTTTAATGACACTGTCCAAATAAAATATTATTTTAAAATAATGAAGAAATTAGATCTTACAGAACTTTACCTGTTTCTTAGCAAAGTATTCTCTTCAGAATTCATAAATAATATAACTCTCATTGTCAAAAGATTTAAACAATTTGGCACACAATGGCTGAAATCGCACTCTGTAAGTGAGGCCACAGAAGGGTGATGACATCATCAGTCATAGTGATTTTTCAGAAAATATTTCTGATTTCTCCCCAAGCCTCCATGGGGTCCCTTTCACTGACAGGAAGCCACTGGTGACCACAGGGTACAGTCTTTAACTACCAAAAACTATGGAAGCCAGGATGACTTTTCCAGTGGCAGAAACTTCCAGTAATAAAACATTCACCCCTTCCCATCCCACCAGCTCCAAAAGCTTCCCAATGACAACAGGGATTCCACAGGAGCCTTAGTACATTCATGGAAGAAATTGGAAACATTTTATTTCTGAAAAAAATTGTAGTAATTGATGATGTCACCAACCTTACACAGTGTAACTTAAAGCAAGGGTCCCCAACTCCTGGTCCATGGCCCGGTGTCAGTCTGTGAGCTTCTTGGGACTGGGCCACGGAGACGGCTCTCCACCACCCCGCACGCATGGTGGGAATGTCGTGCTCGCGAAGGGGCGTGTCACGCTCGCGGAGGGGTGTAGCAAGAGCGACACGCACGCCCGTGGGCGTGACAGGCCTGTCCGCGAGTGCAGGGGTACCCCCCCATGCACAGAGCCTGCACCCCCCCCAACTGGTCCGCGGTCCAAAAAAGGTTGGGAACCACTGACTTAAGGAACAAGACTTGCACATTGCCTAGACTTGTAACTTGACACTGACGTTTTCAAAAATCGAAGCTGAAATAGTGCTCAAGAACCATATACACTGGATTGCACTCACACAGACCAGTACTACTTAAAGAGATATATTTAAGCAATATAACCTTCCTACCTTTATAGCCTTGATTGCTGCCTTGGTAATCTGTGTCATTTTTGCCTTTGAAATGGGAGGTTTGTAGTCATTCAGCGAGTACAACTAGAAAAACAGAAAAAAAGATGACTATAAACAAGGTGGGGAGACTTGTTACAGTTGCTTGTAAGCAGAATCTCAGTTTTTTCTATGCATCCTCTCTTATGTTAAAAGACAGTGGCTTTACCCCCCGCAGCTGGAAGGGATGAGGAAAATAAAATGGCAGCAGTTCAAGAACTCCTTTACTTTTTAGTGCCAGCACAAGCACCTGAAGTGGATGCCATGCAGGGAATAGCAAATCTGAAAGACAGTAGCCAGTATTGCTTTTGTTGCTACACTATGTTCACAGCACAGAAGCAGCAGCAATAATGTTGATAAGAGAAACCAAAATCCAAGGTATCCTAAGACCAATTAAATGTCACATAAGAACTCCTACATTACTCTATGTAGTATGAAAATTAAGGATGAGAAAAGTAGTAGAAAAGTCTAAAGCTTAGGCTAGATGTTGAACCATAAGGTCTGTAGTTAAACTTATTCCCCAGACTGAGTGAATCACTGGTACATGTGCAGGTATAAGATTGCACCTGGAAAGTACTCTTGAATGAAGAGGAAAGTTAGAGCCAGCTTTCAGAAATGGAGACCTGACTGAATACTCAACTACATTCCTCCAGTGACTTGTTTCTGAAAGCAATGAAAATACATCCTGTCCTCTTAATACTTAAATCTCATATGCACAATGATTCTATTCTTATTTGCCTTCTACAGTAAGGACTGTCAGACCGTAGGACTGCATTATCTGGTGGTGGTGGTGGTAGTGTGTCTGTATCATGACCTGTTGAGGGAGGCTGACAGGGGTAAAATGTCTCTGTTGGTCCTCCTCGACATCTCGGCGGCCTCTGATACCGTCGACCACGGTATCCTCCTAGGGAAGCTCTCCGAGTTGGGAATTGGTGGCTCGGCCCTCCCCTGGCTCCGTTCCTTCTTGGGGGACCGTCCCCAGAGAGTGCAGCTTGGGGAGAGTGTTTCGGCCCCGTGGAGTCTCAATTGGGGAGTTCCACAGGGGTCGATTATCTCCCCAATGCTGTTTAACATCTATATGAGGCCGCTGGGGGGGGGTCATCAGGGGGTGTGAGGCTTCGTGTCATCAATGTGCCGATGACACCCAGCTCTATATCTCCTTTTCACCAACTGCAGGTGATGCCGTCCTGACCCTACAGCGCTGCCTGGGGGCCGTACTGAAATGGATGCAGGAAAATGGGCTGAAGCTGAATCCGGACAAGACGGAGGTTCTGAGGGTGGGTGGCCCCGTGGGTGGCGGCTTGGGTGTCTCTCTCACATTTGGGGGGGGTGACCCTGGCTGCGAAGAGTGGGGTCCGCAGCCTGGGCATACATCTAGACCCGACACTCACCATGGAAACGCAGGTGGCGTCGGTAGTCCGCACCGCCTTTTTCCACCTCTTGTGGATCACCCAGCTGCGGCCCTATCTCGACACGGGGGCACTCACTACCTTGGTGCATGCGCTCGTAATCTCAGGTTTTAGACCACTGTAACGCGCTTTACGTGGGGCTGCCTTTGAGGCTGATGCGGAAACTTCAGGTGGTGCAGAATGCAGCAGCCAGACTCCTCAGTGGAGCGAGAAAATACCAACGTATTTCTCCTACTCTGGCCATGCTGCACTGGCTGCATTGGCTGCCCATTCGTTTCCGTGTCGACTTCAAAGTCTTAATGCTTACTTACAAGGCCCTAAACGGTTTAGGACCTCGATATTTGGCGGAACGCCTGCTCCCACCAAGGTCTACCCGGATCACCCGTGCGAGTCAGGAGGTGAGGCTGAGGAGCCTGACACTGAGAGAGGCCCGGAAGGAAAAGACACGAAACCGGGCCTTCTCGGCGGTGGCTCCTCGCCTCTGGAACAACCTCCTTTCAGAGATTCGTGCGGCCCCTATGCTGGGAATCTTTAAAACCCAATTAAAAACATGGCTGTACATCCAGGCCTTCCCTCCAGTTAATACCTGATTCCTTTTCTATTCCTTCTTATTTTATTCTCATTCTATTTAATTGTAACTGTATCAAATGATTATATAATGTTCTTGTGTTTCATTGTTTTATCCTATACTGGCAGCCGCCTAGAGTGGTCGAGTAGACCAGATAGGCGGGGTATAAATCAAATAAATAAATAAATAAACCAATGCATCTACTGGATACATACTCAAAACTACAAATTTACTGTTGAGTATCAGAACTTGGTAGAGAACAAATTCTTTCCACAGAGAAATCCAAGCTATCCCAAGCTGTCTTTCATTTAGTAGCATAACTTAGGTTGCCAGTGAGATATTATTGCTGCTGTTTTTGGACTACTTACCAACCTACAGCAAATCACATGGAAATCTATCAGATTTAGATCTACCTTCTCCTCACCCTTGTTGCACAACACTAGGGTCCTGTGAAAAGGCCAATATCTAACATTTTACCTATACAGTGGTGCCCCGCATGACAACGATAATCCATCCCAGGAAAATCGCTGTTTAGCGAAATTATCGTCATGTGAAAACCCTTTCCCCATTGGAATGCATTGAAACCCAGTTTAATGTGTTCCAATGGGGAAAATACCTTGTTGTCCAGCAAAGATCACCCATAGGGAAGCCATTTTGCGATCGCCAATCAGCTGTAAAAATGGCTACCCTGCAAAGCATGGGCCCGGAAAACACCGGGCAGCCATTTTGCGGAGGTGAAAAAATCGTCATCTTGAGAACAAACGGTTCGCGAAGCACGGACCTAATAGACATCCAGCGAAAATCCCCCATAGGAATTACTGTTTTGCAAATCGCTATAGCGATTGCAAAAAGTCATCATGTGGATTCATCGTTTAACGGGGTTGTCGTTTATCAAGGTACCACTGTATTTATTTATTTATTATTTATTTATTTTATTTATATCCCGCCTATCTAGTCGGTTAGGACCACTCTAGGCGGCTTACAGGAAAACATACAGCAATATATATGAAAACAATTTTACATTTTAAAAAAACTTTCAGCAAGGTAGGACAAAGAGTAGGGAGAGGAGACTTAACAAACTGTCATTCTTAGAACTTCTCCAAAATGTCCTGAAAGATTTAGGCACAAAGCTTTGCAAAGGACTTCACATTAATTTAAAAGAATCTCAAATTATATATTACTTTTATTTTTATTAATTCATGTTATCATGTTTACAATTCTCTAAAATAAGCAATTGCAAATTTATGCAAATATCATAATTAGGAGTTTAATTTATATACTACTTTCAATGAAATATTTCTAGGAAAGGTCATGTGAAAGTGTATAATGTAATGGAGAACAAAATTACTAGAAGATACTTATATCCAAAAGTCCAAGATGTATATTTTACTGGGCAATCCAAACATCCCTTTCATTATTTCCAGCTTCACTGTTTCTACTTCTATTTGTGTCCACTTTACCACTGGTATAGAAATAAATGTTATTTAAGAAGTAAACTCTGGTTTATGGCTTTGGATTACAGGGAACCTCAAAATATAAACAAAAATATTTAGAACACATAAGAAAACAATCTCTCTGTGTGTGCTTTAAATAAAAAGCAAGGGTTATCTCAACAGGTAGAAGGCTTCGGAAAATGGTCAGATGGCATTAAATATGTACTGAACTAGCCTTCAGGCAAACCTTTCTGGAAAGAAAAGGCCCTGAGGACGTCACAATATGAAAACTTCCTACCAGTTGTCATAAACATCTCCTGAAGATGCAAATAAAGCAAAGCAAAGTGTGCTGCTTCTATACCATCTTACAGCACTTAAAGCAATCTGGGCAATTTACAATTTAATTATATAGACTACGTGTTACCATCCCCAACCCTCAGCGAGCTGGGTATTGAATTTAATGACCTCGGAAGGATGAAAGGAAGAGTCAACCTTGAGCTGGGTACCTGGATCCGTTGCAATCAAACACAGATCATGAGGAGAATTTTGACTGCAGTACTGCAGTTTAACCACTTCACTATGAGGCTCTTCGTGGTTTGAGTTCCAAACCAGTTGTTGTCAGAGAATAAAAGTACTACTCTTTAGATATATACCGTATTTTTTTGCTCCATAAGATGCACTTTCCCCCAAAAAAAATGTGTGGGGGGGGGAGTCCATGCGCCTTATGGAGCAAAGGCAGCAATTTCGTCGCCACTGGCCCCGTGGGGGGGAGCGTCACGAGGGTCCGGGTGAGCCTTCCAGGACACTTGTCAGGCTCCCACACACCCCACGGGGCCAGCGCCGGCGAAATCGCCAGCTTCCAGGTGGGGGGGAGCGTCGCAAGGGTCCTGGAAAGCTCACTCAGACCCTTGTGACGCTCCTCCCACCCCCGCACGGGGCCAGCGCCAGTGAAATCGCCAGGTTCTGGGAGTGTGGAAGCTTGGGAAGCCTCCAAACACTCCCAAAAGCTGGCGATTTTACCCCGCTGGCCCCGTGGGGGGTGGGGGGAGCGTTGCAAGGGTCCGAGGGAGCCTTCCAGGACCCTTGCGACGCTCCCCCCCACGGGGCCAGTGCCGGCGAAATCGCCAGCTTCGGGGACTCTTCTGAAGCTCCCCAAGCCTCAACCACACCCTAGGACCCTTTAGAGACTCCCCCTGCCCCCCCCCCCGGGCATCAGAGGGGGGGAAATCGCCACCTTCTGGGACTCTTTTGAGGCTTGGGAAGCTTCAGAAGAGTCCCCGAAGCTGGCGATTTCCCCCCCTCTGATGCCCGGGGGGGGGGGCAGGGGGAGTCTCTAAAGGGGCCTAGGGGGGGTTTGAGGCTTGGGAAGCTTCAGAAGAGTCCCCGAAGCTGGCGATTTCCCCCCCTCTGATGCCCGGGGGGGGGGGCAGGGGGAGTCTCTAAAGGGGCCTAGGGGGGGTTTGAGGCTTGGGAAGCTTCAGAAGAGTCCCCGAAGCTGGCGATTTCCCCCCCTCTGATGCCCGGGGGGGGGGGCAGGGGGAGTCTCTAAAGGGGCCTAGGGGGGGTTTGAGGCTTGGGAAGCTTCAGAGGAGTCCCAGAAGTTGGTGATTTCGCCCACTATTGTACTGGGGAGCCATA